CTGACTGACAGTATCAATCTCGACTGTCACTTAAGGTCTTTATCTTCTCTTCTGTTTCTCTCATTATTCTTCTCCAATCTTTCTTCTTTCTCTCTTTGCTCATGAAATATCATCTTGTTTCTGCTCCTTTATCCCAGGTCTGCCCCTCCCTTGCCCCACCAAGCCCGAGCCTCCCTGACTGACAGTATCAATCTCGACTGTCACTTAAGGTCTGCCCCTCCCTTGCCCCACCAAGCCCGAGCCTCCCTGACTGACAGTATCAATCTCGACTGTCACTTAAGCTTATATTCCAATAGCGCCTGGCCAACTTTAGCCTGGCACTAGACAATGGCCCAAGCGCAAGGCCTGAAAGCCATGGTGCAGAATTATTTGAGCCAATCTATCAAATTCCATCACTTGAGTTGTGTGTTCCTGCACTACCAAGAACTTGGTGTGAATTGCTGTTGCCAGGTCGGCTCCTCACTTATGGCAGCCCATTTTAAGGATTGTATTATGAACACACAACCAACAAGAGGGGGACTAATCAGTTGGAAAGCACATTGTACATTGCCGGTCTCAAACTTTTGTGCCAATCAAAGTTCCCTACTTCCAAGATGTTGACCCAGCGGCAAATCTTTTCCCTACTGGGCTCAATCATACACACCCAACTGCACAACAAATCACCCTTACAGACAGACCTTTTTTCAAGTCATGCAACCCACTTCATGTTCATTGACTTAACAGCTAGAGAGCTTATTATCAGTGATTATCCTTCTCAGTTCCCCCATGCATCAGCCGCCAGTGCTTTTCTTGCCCGCTCTCATCACATCTGGGATCAATGTATCAATGTTCTTGCTCTTGCAGTGCAAAATGGTCTTCTCTCCAACAGAGATGCCAGGGAAATGGCCACCAGATTAATCTTGATATACGCTATGCAGCAAACAATAATTCTGGACTCTGGGAACAAATTCCGCATCAAACATTAAGGTCATTCAGTTTGATTGAGAGATTTCATCAACACAATAACCGCCCCTGAAGAAATTTAGTTGGATACAAAAAGTACCAAGGGTTGGAAGAGACTCTTGGATGAGGGGCAAATGTTTTTCTGCCACTTTACCTGGATTGGATACACACGCCCAGTGCTAAAGAATTTATGGAGTCTTTGCATGAAGGCCTAGATGTTCAATGTAAGCCTGGGCAACATGGACTTGCCAACCTTTTTACTATCTATCTTGCCCCAGAATCTGAGCCGGATCACCAGCTAGATCTCAAAAACATAAGCTTTTGTGGGGTTCAAACCAAAAAATCAAGAGGGTAGTGTCAAATGGAAAGAGAGTTGCAATTGGTGCAAAAGCTTTGCTGGAATTGTTATTGAAGACATTGACTATCCCTACCTTATTCTGTTATTCAGCCTGAAAGCCAAATCTCAAGAAAGTCCTGGACCATGGCAGGAGCCTGACAACAAGGATATCCATACTTGCAATTGGATCAAAACCGTCACCCGTCATTACCATAAGACCCCTCCTCCAGTTCCTTTGCAAAAACCTGCTCAGAAATCAACCAAACAAACCAGGTCAGCAGATCACACAAACACACCTGTAAGTTTTATCTCTCTTTGAACTGAGTGGCATGTATGAATGTAAGATTTATCCTCTTCTTGATCAAAAACATGCTCACCAATCAATTGATGACCAAGAACCAGAAATCACCAAAGAGGATCCATCAGTTTTATCCCTCACTGAACAGGCCCACACAGATACCACCAGATAAGATACTCACTCCCTTGTTTGCAGGGACAAGCAAGGAACACCCACCAGTACGAAATCAAGGCCAAGCCATGCAATCAGACCAACAACCGCAAAGGGATATGGAAACCAAGCAGAATAGTCAGTGTGATTTTTTATTGAACAGGCTGGTAGGAATACTCTCATAGTGTACTTAACATGCTCATGAAATTTGGGTCCCCAGCCCAATTCAGGAAACAAGGCCCAAACAAATCAGCCAAACCGGTGTGGAAAGAAAGGCGCGCCCTAGGGTATTTCTTGTACCTCTCCGCTCCGCAACACGTCTTGCTCCGGTTTGTTGTCCGGGGTAACTTGCTTGATGGTCTTGTAGGTAGGTAAAATAACACTCTTTATTGTTTTTCTTTGTAGGTAATACTCTAACTCTAATCTATCTCTAACAATTCTTTAGGCTAATACACGATTCACTCCTAAGTCTCTCTGTTTTCTGATATGTTCTGAGTCATAAGTCCCCTTCTCTCCCCCCTCTTCTGCCTCGAAGTCCACTCCTCCTCAGTTTCCCACACTCCAGTCCCTTCCTGCTTCCCGCGCTGTCATCCGCTGTCACCCCCTCGGACTCCGCATGTCACCCCTCCGACGCCTGTCGGTCCAGGTACTCCTCCGGCCGCTCCTGAGCAGGTCTCCCACCGCCGCTTCCGCCTCTGGTCCGCTCCAAACCCCGCTTCCGCCCCTCGGTGCTCCCCGCTCCTTGTAGCCCCTCCGCAGTATACGCTGAACCCCTGTTCCGCAGTCGGCCGTGATCCCTGGCGTCCGCCGATGCCCGGATTCCCCGCAGTAAGCTTTTCAGAACCTTGTGCATTCGGTCTACTTTTCTCCACTTTCCCGCGCCTCGGAAAGCTTGACTTTCCACTAATGCACCGCCGCTTTCCTCAGCCTGCTTATGTAGCGTCAGCTCCGCGTGCTTTCCGCATCAGCGCCGCGAGCATTCCGCATGCCCCAAACAAACCGGCCAAAGCTTTGGTCCAGGCGCGCTCCCGCCACCACACCGGGCAGGTCAACAAGCCGCCCAAACACATCTGTGTCTCCAAGTGTCATCTCCCTTAAAGCAGACTGTTCTGAACAATTGGCTGAGTCAAAATATGATACTGATTCCCTTTACGGCAGCGCAAACCAAAATCTCAAACCAATGCCGGTCAGACAGCCTGCAATCAATCCAATTGTGTACACCCAGTATAGTGGTGCATATTCTAAGGACCCCCAAACATATCCTGTATGAGTCTCTTTGATCATTCCACAATTGTGATAATACTCCCGGGGCTTTGAGTGGTCCTTTGCTTCAACAGCAACTCTGTCACTCTTGGCAATCTAGAGATTGTTCGTTCGTACTCGGGTACCTGTTGAATTTTTTCAAAAAATAGGTACCAAGTACCGCACCAGGCACCTCCCGGCGGGTACCGGCGGTACTTTTGGCGGGTACCACGGGTACCTCCCCTCTCTTTCTAACCTAGGTTCACTTTCAGATTACCAAGTCACTTTTTTATTATTATTTTTTTCATGTTTATTGTAAAATATCAGTCCCAAGTCACTTTTTTTCCATTCTTTCATATTTATTGTGAAATGTTGACAACAAATTGGAATAATCCTACTTTGTTATTATATTTTCATATTTATTGAAAATATCATTCCCAAGTCACTGTTTTTCCTTTTGTCATATTTGTTGTAAGACATCTTAAACTAATTGGAAGAACCTTACTTCATTATTATTATTATTTTCATATTTATTGTAAAATATTACTCAAGTCACTTTTTTGGCATTTTTTTCATATTTGTTGTCAAGTATCTACATCTAATGGGAAGAATCTTGCCTTTTTTCATATTTATTGTAAAACATCAATCCCAAGTCAATTTTTTCATTTGTTCACATTTAATAATTTATTTTAAAGCTTAAACTGTCTACAAATTACATCTAATTAGATTATTAGAAGAGTATTCATTGTTTTCCAGAAATATCACCTTCCTTTTTGATTTTTGGTTAGACTTCTTGTTATCCTTGAGTCCCTGTTTTCATGTAGCCAAGGTACCTTCTTGGAGTTCTTGGAGTAGAAGGCCACCGTCATTTTGGTAGAGAAGTGAGGGGGTACCTGTTCAATTTTTCACAAAAATAGGTACCAAGTACCGCACCTGGCACCTCCCGACGGGTGCGGGGCGGGTGTGAAGGGTACCCCCCAAGTGGTACTAGGTACCTAGCAAAGGGTACCGCGGAACGATCTCTATGGCAATCACAATCCCATTTTTTTTTCACCCACTTTTCTCTCACACCTGTCTCCTTTTGTTAATCCAAGCCTGGAGAACCAAAATTAGGGGGTTTTCTTGTTCATTTTGGATTGTCCAATAAACCCAGTCCTTCTGTCTTGAAAGTAATAGCAATATTAGCTCCTTTGTTGAGGTGCCCCAAATGCAGATACATATCCATGGATTTTATGATTTATGTACTATACTTGAAAAGCCCCCCTATCCAGATCAGCTCTGGGAAATCTCATCAAAATCAGAAATCTCATCAGAATCAGAGAGCCATGTGAACCAAATGTGATCAGTACATAACACCCCGAAGGAACTTGGCTCAATTCAAATTGCTGAAGCTGCTGCCTTGACATCCCCCCTAGGGCATGGGGTACAGATAGCAGGCATGGTTTTTTTTTTATCTGCACTGCAAGATTGGTTGGTTGTATAGATCATTGGATTTGTTTTTGCAGGAAAAAAAAACATGATGGCAAAAACATATGAAGATGTATTTGACTCTATTGAAGTACAACCACTGGAAGAGAGTGCTTCAAGATCCCAGCATGAGACTGACCCAAGAAGTGTTTGCATCAAGGTATGTAGGAGAGCGGAAGATGATCCACTCACCAGTGAAAAAAAACGAAAAGCAAAAAATGAGCATGTTACAACATCACAAATGATGATCAACACAGAAATACCTCAAGGTTCGGACCTGGTTTACCAAGGTACATGCCTGGCTGGATCAGAGTTTTACTGGGCGGGCCGATGCACCAGGTGTGTGCCCACTGGGGCCGAATTAGTAGGTAATAGGTGTCCGCGAAAGAGGAGTCCTCCCCAGAGAACGGTCACACATTGTACTCGCTCACAACATACGATCCCGGCCCGGCTAGCACTGCCTAGCCTGTAAAGTTTAAAGTTGCATACCCAGCTGGAGATGTATGAATATTATTGGTTTTGATGAGAGGCGATAACCGAGGAAGTTTCTTTTCTCCTCATCGACATAGATTTGCGCAGGCCACGGTCCCTTCTAGACCTTTTTTTGACGACAAAGATGAATTCTGACACCCCACCTCACAGTCTTTATGTATTTCATTCATTGATCCAGGTGTTTGTCAAGGAGGGGTTTTTTACATGGAGAGGTCGGAGATTATGGACAAATAACAAATACATGCATATCTTCGCTCTTTTTGCTGATGCCCCAGGACAGTAGTGACACAGCCTTCGTCAAGAGGAGATCGATTGGTAAAAATAATGCACAACTTTTTGTGAGAGATCAATAGCGAGATCCTCTCATGAAGATCGAAACCAATCTAACAATTGAAGTGAATCCGGTGATGGTGATTTAATATGGGAGGACAGGATCGATGATCAGTTTCTCCAATAAATTTAGAAAAATAAGAAAAAAAATCGATGGACGGACCTATCACATTCAACCATTAACTCTTTAGCATGTTTAGTAACTTCGCTATCCTCGTGATTAAACATGACGGCGTTAGCCAACATGAGCATCAAATCTCGACGATATTCCTCAGTCGAGGTCACTTTACCGTCCCTCAACTTCTTAGCGAGGGTGCGAAGATCCATGGGTCTTTTGACGATGGAAGTGTACCCGGGCGCCTCAGATTCCTTGACAGGGTCGCGGAAGATAGAGGAGATCGGGTTGGATTGGACCGATGAATGGGTCTTTAGCATCCGTCTCCTGAACGAGGTCGGGTCACTCGTCGTCGATGAGGACCCTTGCCGTGGCCCTGTCGAGCTCGCGTCTGCTGGGAATAGTGGCAGCTTGGCCGAGTTTGGCGTCTGGTTCGCCGTCGAATTCCCGTCGGTGATCCCCGTTGCAAACGCTTCTCGAGTATCGCCAAAACCACCATCAGCAGAGGAAAACCCCAAGAAAGAGGATCACAATCAGTCTAAGAGCTCGCGTACTGCTCAGCTGATCTTTCGAGGGTAGCTCCGCGTTTTTTTTACTCACAGGCTGAGTTGGGAGTGCCCACTCGACTACCATCTGCCGAATGGTCATTCTCCAGGAGCGATCTCTTGTTAGAACCCGGTGAATGAGCGACCGAATGAGAATCCTCGGGTCCCTTCGTGCTCGCGTGAGCGGCGGGAGACTCGTTGTTGTCGGGCTTGGCGGAAGATGGATGAGTTTCGGGGTCTGGCTCCAATTTTTCGCTCATCTTTTCTTCGTTATGTGTCGCTAGAGAACAAAAAAGAACATTCAACGGGGTGTGGAGGAGCAAGAATGTTGATCGTGAGTTATGTGACTCACAAGTTACTTTGCCAATGGCCACACGACTCCTTAAGCTTTTATCTGAAATCTTTTGTGTCTTGGAATCGGGAAGGTCCTCATGTTCGGGCTTGATTTTCTTATTTTGTGAAGATTTTTGATGGGGCAGTTTGGCTTCCGACGGCTCGCTTGCTTCCAACTCGACTTTGCGGGTCTTGCGTGTGACTGGCCCACTAGGAGTTGGGCGGTCACGCGATCTGGTGAGCTGTTGAATCACCGTTTCGTCATCATCTGAGGCCGGACTTTCGGGCGCTCTGGGTGTTTCTGCTGAATCACTTGGACTTGTCACAGATGCTTCATATTCAGAAAAAAGGGAACTTTATTTAGAAAACACGCATAAGAAGAGTCCAGGTGATGATCAAGGAAGAGCTCACGTTTTTCAGGTTCTTGGCGCGGAGTTTTATCTGTCTTGCGTTGAGAGAGACTGGTAGGGGGAGCCTTTCGTTTGCGGCTTTTCGTCACTTCAGCGGTGGCCGAGGAGGAGTCGTTATGATCCGGAGAAAGTTCTGAATCTTGGATTTCCTTCTTCGCAGCACGCTTGGTCCTAGCGATTGGAGATTTTTTTGCAGCCGACCGCTCCAGAGAAACCGGAGCTATTGCTGTGAGAAGAGATAGAAGGGTAGAGCGGCTAGGTTAGTTCTAGCGATCTTGATTCACTGCCAGTAGATCGAAAGAGTAAGAGGAATTTGCGAGGATTTTTGAACTGACAACCCTCATCAGTCAGGCTTTGTTTATCTGGCTCATTCTCCTCTACGTTCCCTGAAATCTCAGGATTCGATGGGCTTGGATGAGAGTCTGAGGGCTTGGGGGATTGAACTGGTGGAACCTCGGCACTACTCTGTTTCTCGGCTTCAGCAATCAATTTATCATCCCACTCTCCACGTTTGATGGCCTCTATTTCAGTTTGAAGGCTTTGAGTTTTCTTCTCCTCTTCTAGGAGAGCCTGTGCGATCGATTTGAGATGGACCTCGTACAGCCGACGGGCAACGTCTAGGGCTTGTGAAGCATCGAATGATTCCAGTTGGTCTAGATCTTTTTCGAGATAGGTCTTGCAGATGTTCGAGTAAACGTTGGAGCAGACCTAGGTATTTTGTTCGAGATGGATCTCAGCAGAGTGAGACGCAGGATCGATGAACATCACTCGATCTCGAGCTCGTATCAGCTATACCAATTCACAGATGATATGAAGCCGCACCGTGGGGTTAAAGGATGTGCCTAGTAGCCAGTCTTCCGTCTTCCTGGTCTGTTGATAGCCATGAATCAGCTCGATGACCTGCTCCCAATCGACCGTCTTCTCTGTTCGTTCGGTCGACTGTGCTTGGTGGACGGCCTGGGCAAGCAGGAGCTGTTCCCGGATAGATAGCGTCGGCTCGGCTTCAGTAGTCGCCATCCTACTGGCGTTGCTGGTCGATGGTTCTTCTTGGAGGAATCGGTCGATCGAAGCTTACACAGTAATGTGCCCGGGCTGCGGCCCACTGGAGCAGAGGCCCGCCCAGGGGATGTGCATGTATGCGCCCCCACAAAAAAAGAAAAGAAAATATTTAAAATTCAAAGCAACCCCGACACCCATTTCCATCTTCACCAAGAACTACCCATCAAATACACATCATGGCAATCGAATCAAGCCAAACTAATAGATTCGATGAACTCAACCCACCACTAACATCATGGGTGTCAGTAACTCAAATAACATACAGTCAAGCACTCTGGACTGACTGACTACTAACCTAATCATCTTCACAGTTCAGATACCATCAAATCGTTTGGATTCCAACAGATGACCCCTGTTCAAGCTCACACAATCCCACTATTCTTACAAAACAAGGATGTGGTAGTCCAAGTTAGTCAATTTGATTTCTTATGTCGAAATCCATGTGCTCCACTGCCTCTAACTTCAATTGGGTTTCTTTTTTGTTCAACCTGCTGTACATGGGGTTTAAGGCAGTTACGGGATCTGGCAAGACCTTGGCATTCGTAATTCCTATCATCGAAAGACTGATTCAGCTAGAACCACGGCCGCATTCCCATGTTGCTGCAATCATCATCAGCCCTACAAGGTAGCTACTATAATTTGATATCAGACACTTTTCAAAAAAAAAAAAAAAACAATGGCCGATTTCCTATGCTTTCTTTGCCAGGGAATTGGCAACCCAGACATTCCAGGTCTTAAACCAATTCCTCGAGAACCGTCCTTCCCCCTCCGATCAAGCCAGCTGCTCATCAGATCCTGTTACGCCCTTTCTCAAAGCAATGTTACTGATTGGAGGTACCGGAGCTCGATCGATTAAACAAGATCTATCAGAATTTCAAGAATATGGGGCCAATATCCTCGTGGCTACTCCCGGAAGATTGGAAGAATTCTTGTTCGGTTATAGTAGTCTCAACAAACGCAAAACCAATGATCTTTCTGAATTCAAACAGAGATCACAATTCAAGACCCTCGCCAACTTGAAAAGTTTAGAAGTCTTAGTACTCGATGAGGCTGATCGGTCAGCCGAGTTCTTCTTGTCATCAGTAGCCGTCAATCTTAATCATCGATGTACTCATCAGAGACTGTTTGGTGCCATGTCCTTCTAATCTCAGGTTACTCGACTTGGGTTTCGCACCAGTGCTTTCTAATATTTTGGGAAAATTACCTAAACAGCGAAGGACGGGTTTATTTTCGGCGACATTGCTCAACGACGGCTTAACCGAACTAATCAGAGCCGGTCTTAGAAACCCAGTCAAGGTCCTAGTCAAAGTCCAAACAGCACATCAGAACCTGCGTGAAAATGAGGCCGGGCCCACGGCTTTAACAAATCAGTACATTGCAGTCCCGAAAGTCGCTTGGAAGATGCCTCAGTTGGTTCGGCTACTCAACCACCTCGCATTCCCCGATCCTGAGGAAAATACTCCCGGGGCCAGAAAATTAATCATTTATTTTGCTACTTGTGCTTGTGTGGAATATTTTTACAAGGTATACGGTTTCTCTCTCTTTTTTTTCTAACAACTTCTTTAGTCAAACTCTATACTCAAACAAGAGCTTGTATTCCCTATGTCCTACATATCTTCAGATTCTTTCGGTACTCGATGAGTTGAAATCATTTTCAGTTCATTCACTTCATGGTCAACAAAGTCCGACTCGAAGATCGATGACCTTCACAGCCTTCAAAAACTCTAATCCGCTATCACCGGCCGTATTACTCTGTACGGACCTCGTGGCTCGAGGACTAGATCTTCCCGATGTGGACGTCGTTATTCAGTTCGATCCTCCGAAAGATGTCCGGAATTTCTTCCATCGGATCGGTCGGACGGCAAGGGCAGGTAAAAGTGGACGTGCAATCGTCTTGCTCCAATCCAATCGAGAATTGGACTATGTTGGTCGGTTCAGGATTTATCTGCTTCACTTCAAATATCTTCAAAAACTCAACATAGCCCTTCCTCGTTTATTCTAGATTACCTGAAGCTCAAGAACTTGCACCTAAAACCCCTCCCATACATCCGATCATGTTCACGCTCGAATGGGGCTCAAGGATCTGAAATCGCCACGGATTCAGCCGCCGAAGAATTTATCCGTAAGGTCAAAAATATTGTCAAAACGGATCGGGCATTGCACGATCGTGTAAGTCGTCGTCATCCTTCTTGGCAGCTTCCTTCATGGGCACTGCGAGACTGCATTTTCTCTGGTGAGGTTGAACTGATTTTGACCGAACCGAATCCCTCAGGGCGTCAAAGCGTTTGTATCATATGTTCAGTTTTATTCGAAACACGAAGCCTCTTACATATTCAAGCTGGACCAGATTGATTTGCTGTCACTTGCCTTTCACGGATTTGGGCTGATCAAATTGCCGAAGATGCCTGAATTGAAGAAATTTCGAACTCAAATCGACTTAGTTACCCCAGATGGATTTGAAGTGGGGCAGGAGGAATTCGACGTAAGCCTAGCGCTCTTGTAATTGAAAGCAAGGAGCTTATTGTTGATTGGATTCTTATTTGACGTCTTTTACCCAAAACTCTCAACCATCTCATGTTCGTCACCCAAAGTGGCCGAAATATTCCTACCTAGATCCACTGAAAGAAACTCAACGGCAGGAGAAATATAAACAAACCACAGAAGCGCAAAGAATGATCAAAGAGTCCAACGAAGCCAACAACAAGTCGAGCGGATTGACTAAACCCAGTCGAAAATCTGGACAAACCAGTACACCAATCGACAAGAAAATCCAGGCATTGGAGCAGAAAAAGCTACCGGAAAAAGCGGCTTGGTCGAAGAAAATTAATGCCAAGATCTCGAAAGAACAGAAACGATTGAAACGATTGAGGGAGCAAGAAGCAGGCGGCCCAGGCGATAATAATCAGGACAACCAGGAAAATAACAAGAATAATGAGGATAATGATGATGATGAGGATGATGGAGAGACAGATTGGAAGGAACTGGTGATGGAGAAAAAAACCCTTAAGAAACTCAAGTTGGATCTCGATCATCAGAAATCAATCGATCGTCTTCCTATCACCGAGCATCCAAATCCTGCCCAAAGCTCTTCTGGGTTCGATAAAAATTTAGGAGAATTTTTCCTTGGCTTGGCTTGAACTGTGAACTTCTTATGCAATTCTCGTTTCTTCCTTTTTGGGTCACCATTATGTGATAGATTTTTTTTCCTTGACTTCTTGGGGGCTGCAGGAGTTTATGACGAGAGATTGGGGTTCAGCGTTTTTTTCTTCATTTTTCTTCATTTTTAAGCAAGTCTCATAAAATCACATCAGATGTTATGTCGATTGTCTCCCCCCCACCCACCCAACTTCTTCCAAAGCCTCCCGATCTCAATTAATTTACAAACTGCATAACTATATACGATTCTTGATCCAAACTGAAAGACATACCAACAAGGAACAAAGCAACGCTTGTGAAGGAGCATTCGACTCACTGACGCTCCCAAGCTCTCCAGCTGTGAGTTATTTTCCAACTCAATTTCCAAGACATGCAGTGCTCTCTTTGATTCAAATCTCTCAATTTATGATTCTTCAAAAAATTAAAGAAAAACTTTTACACTTTTTGCTAATCAATGTACAAGACTTCATTATAGTAGATATGAATGTAAATAAATATGGATGGAATAGAATAGAATAAGTGAGATTTGGATAACTAGAAGAAAATCTATTCTATTGAGTGAGACTATATATATATATGTTTTTATATGCAAAACAAATGGAGACTGTCAATCCGATGATCGGGGAGATGAAAGGGGGGTGATGGAGTGAGAGAAATCGACCGGTGACAGAATAGATAGATAAATCAACAAAAACTGGAGAGAAAGAGAGAGAATTTTTTTTTTGAAGAAATTGATCATTTACAAATCTGGAATGAGGGCGCTCGCAAGTCAATTAATCTCCGACTGATTTGTCTACTAGTCATAACGTGGAAAAACTAAGAAAGCTTGAATAAGAAAAAATAAAATATGTGAATGTAAATTATTAGAAGAAATGATTATGGCACGGGTGACCTTGGTTTTCAGATGGAAGAAAATCCTGGGAGTTCGAGTTTCGGGTGCAAGGTTTCGAAAGCGAGGAGGAGATAGAATACAGGTTTTTGTGGTCTATGGAGGTCGCGAAAGATGAGAGATAATGGAGAGTTTGTCAGGCCAGTCGAATCGAGGCTGATGTTGGATCTGCGGGGAGACCTTGTTGATCTTTCTGGCTATCAGCAGTCAGATTTGTGCTCGACCGGCCGCTTGGGGATTGGTGCCGACTGTCTGCATCCCCGGGACTTCCTCGGCCTTGGCTGTCTCGGTAAAGTGCGGTGAGCACATTGTTGAACCCTAGACGTCCTGACTCGGCATTGGTTGAAAACCTATGATTGATTTGATTTTTTTTCATCAGTGTACAAGTCAGATAATGTTCCAATTTGTCAGAGTTCTGAGGGTTTTTAGGGAAATGGTTTTGGTGGATTTTTTTTCCAATCCAAAAATTCTTAGGAAAGTTTTGCCATGAGATCAATGTGATGGATTATGGAATTTACCTATCTCGAGCCCAAGATTCGAGTTTGGATCCCAGGATGCCCCACGATTCCCCGATTGCGAGTGTACCCTGAGCCTGGATATCAGCACGTTGGAAGAAGCTACTGGCTTGAGGATGAGAGGGTTGGTATCGAATTTGTTCTCGACAGATCAAGATCGAGGACATGGAGAGATTGACTGAGCCCATCAGGACCATCGGCGGTTGGTCGGGTGAACTGGGACTGCAAAGGTATCAGATCAGTCTGAAATCAATTTATGGGACAACCACTCATTATGATTGGATTTGGATCGGTTGGACAGCTGTTTTTTCTTGAATTCACTCACACCTTGTAAAAGATCACCTCTCGAACGTATTGCTCCTCTGCCCCTCCGACCAGCTGGAATAACCAAAAAAAAGCGGGCAAAAACATTCAAATTACTTCAAGAGAATTGAGGGGACATGGTTTTTTTGGAAATTAAAAGGCGCACCTTCATGATCCAACGAGGGGCATGTTGACGAATAGAGATCAACCTTTCTGTGCGAAGGGTCCCGTCGGGTAAGAAGGACCTATCGAGGACATCGACGGATGTGATATGGGTCGAATGCTCATTTGGATACTTGTGCCAGATCCCGAGTGCTACGTCCCGCTGGCTTGTGTGAGAGTACGAGGGTAGAGGAGGGAAACGAACGAAGACAGTATATCAAAAGAGTAAGTGCCTTCCATCAATCTAACTTGAAGCCTGACTCAGTTCCTTCGAGACTTACGAATGAGAATGGGAACAGATGCTGAGCCGTGAAGACGACCATGATGAATTATCTTGAAAAGGTGGAATGTCCGCTGGAAGTCTTGGCTGTCAGTACTTGGTCTCTTCAGTCCGTCTGCTCTGGCTCTTCGTTGTCTCAAGTTGAGTAGCAGCTTCTTTGAACAGGTTCATCGTCGAATAGCGCCGGTAGGGATGGTGCGGGCCGGGCTATAATAGACCGACAGAGTCAATGTGGCAGGCCGGTTGGTCGGGACCAGCGACTCGCAGGACGTCTGGCCCCGAGGAGTTTACGTCCACGCGCCAAGGCTGAACCCGAAACCCTTTCTGATCACCAATTCGAGTGGTCATGACTCTCAAAACTGGTAATTAAAAGCTGATATTGATGTTGCCAATATGCTACACTGAAATTCACTCGTAGCCTGCTGGTGTTATGGCTTAAAAAAAGAAGGTATTTTCTTGCAAAACTTTAATTCTCTAGATTTTGAGATTCTTCATTTGCTGGCCCTTGGACCATAGATTTGACAGAACCGCTGTTCCAATGACCAAATTCAGCATGAGGGGGTTCAACTTCAGTTCTTCCTGTCATGAAGCTGTGCATACTTGGTTTGTCTGCAAGTTAATTGTAAGCCATGGTGAAACAAAGATAGGTTTCTCGAAATGCCTCATGATATGGGTACATTCAAACATGATAAATAGTACATAATTAGTCCCAAAGGCATTTATACAACATCCATGTGTGCATGGGTCAGAAAATTTTGGAGTGGATGAAAAGAGAGAGGGAAAATGGGGGAAATTAAATCCAGCTGTTGGTATTAATGACATAAAGATTGGAGATCCTCTGAAGGATCACGAAGAGATGAAGGGTCAGCAGACAAAATTCAACCGGCGAAAGGAAACGAAGAAATTAGTATCTTGCCTGCGAAGACTAGGATCAATTCCTCAGACAACAATGCACATACTTTCAAAAGGAGCATAAAGATAGCGCCACCATCCCCGCCAAGGCACTCATGCGCGAGAACGGCAAAATTTCAATATTCGAAGAATCGGACTTCGCATACGATTGACTGGATACCGAGTTGTAACCGGGTCCGGATCCACCTCCCCCTTTCATCAAAACTTCACTGGCATAGTCTTGAATAGTAAATTTCAATCCAGCGTTAATAAATGAATGCTTCTGCCCGTGAGAAAAGAGAAATTGACTGAACTGAAGTTATAAGCTTGTATAGCATTGCTGATTGGACGCTGTCCGGTTCCGCTTAGCAAGGGCTTTCCAGATCCGTCCAATAGCTCGACCCGAACATCCCCACCATTGCCGCTCCACGGCGCTGAAAATGTGGAGATTGACCCCGGTTTCAAGTGGTTGAAGATTTGACTCGCAGCACCGATAGTTATCCTGAGCTGCTGAGCAGTGGAGTCGGAGGTGAGAAATACGGCAGCATATACCGCATCTTTCGATACGGTTGCGTTGGCGGGAGGACCGAAAGGGTCTGCGGCTATAGTAGGCGCACTTTCAAGTCAACATCGGCTTCTCCATTTACCAAACGAAAAAAAGAAACTCACTAGCAACGGCCGCGGCAGCATGGGGTCTATAGTTATAATACACTTTATCTTCAGTGATCGCGGGAGGAGAGCCCGTCTTGTACCATTTGATAAAGTAATCTGTCATATCTAACCATGCCTGGTGGTCAAATCCCGAACTGAGTGATTTTTTATTAGTGCAACTGGAATAAGATACTTCTAAAAAAACATGCATTTACTCACATCCAACTTGTGCCAGCAGGTGGACTTCCTGCGATAGGGCCAATGTAATGAGATTCGCCGTAGTCGTTCCAAGATACAATTTGAATGAAATCGGGCTGGATGGGCATGGCAATAAGTTCTTCCCATCTGTTGATGTAAAGGTTGTTATCCTGAAGTGCATCATTTTGCAGTAAGTATCATGCCACTCATTCAAGGTAGTTAAGATTATAATCTTGCTTACTGATTTGAACATAAAATTTTTGTCAGAATAGTGCGTGTAGAAGCACGGGCTAACAGATGCCATGTACAGCTGTTGAAACAACAGATGTGATTAGGTTATGCTGCTCAGTAAAACGAATAAATGATTGATGTACCTTGCCGTTTTTCTTCGCATCAGCTTGAAATTGCAAGTCTGTCGAGGTGCTCGTTGTTTCATTGCCAGTGGGCCTAAGAAAATTAGGTAAGCTACATGATTTCTACGAGGGATGATGTGTCCTATGTTTCAAATATTAGTGCTGGCGCTCACCAAGCCTTCCAAGTCATGATGCCATCCACCACCGGGTTCGTAGACACAGCTGTGCTGGGGTTAAGACTGCTCCAGACCGGTACGAACGTAGCATCCATTGGTGGACTCAAAGCAGCCAGGGGAGCCTTGACGGCAGCCTGCCAGCCGATTGAGGCGTTATTAGCTGATTGTTCGGGGAACATGAGCAATGTAAGCTGCCGGTTTGTACCATGGTATCGCAATCAAAAGCGGTGAGGACTCACCACCGAATGAATTACTTTCCCCCGCGAATGTCGATACAAAAGCTTTGCCTCCGATGACTGTCAAGAAAAATGGGGTTATTATTGAGTTGAGTCTGATTTGAACCAGAGATAAGATACTTACGCAGCTGTGACTTCATCGGTGCAAACTTTGTGACCCAACTTGAGACCTCAGTGGCAGTTTTGATAACAGACACTGGAAACAAAGAAAAAAAATGAGATTGGGTATCCAATCACGCTGTGAAATTTGTATTTTTGTAAAAAAAGGGAGCTCACTATCCAAAGAAAGAAACAATTGAAATGGCTGGCCATTGGTTCGGGTAATTTGTGACGCGACATCATATGCCGTGGCGACCTGATGTATATCGAGACAACATCAATTCATATTCTTAATCGAGGAGCACCTAGAAATGAAACAAGCCAAACCTGATCGACTTGCCAATTGTCTGGAGCTCCGACGTTCAGAGCAAAAGCATCAATTCCATGAGATGCGGCCAGTCCAATCTGATTTTTCCAGTCATCCCGCGTGTAATCGATCGTCAAACCAGCACTATAGAACAGACGCGGTCAATGTGAGCTAATGTAATATTTGTTCCATATTTTTAAAACCAAAGGATGCTGACATGAAATGAGCGAAGACCAATTTGGGCGCGGCTGCCGGAGGAGCCCGAGTGCTAAGTTGAAAATGTTGCTTGTCTCCAAGAGATTGAAAAACCGCGTTCGACAAGAGAATGTGTAAAAAGGGGAGTGGCCACTTGGCGGCGAGCATCGTGAAGTCTGGTTGAAGGTGGTATATAAATTAAGAAAGACTGTTGGATGCTCAATCCACGAATTCGTTTCAGAAAAGTAATCAGGTGTATGAATGCAGCAGCAATTTCTAGGCTATTGAGGTGGACCGTGGATCCAGTTGTCTGTTCCAGAATAAGGATGAGAGCTGAGGACCGTCGTGAAATGAGCAAGCCAAGAAGCGGCAAAATGATTGATACTAAGAAAGCGCAACTCTTGAGTTAAGAGTGGCGAATCGTTCATCGTGGTGCCCGAAAAGCCCAGGCCGCATGTAACTTGTGAGGCATCTCTCTAGCTAAACTGGAGCAATCGAAATAGCGCGCGTATGGATCCATCTGGTCCATGTACGCACGACCTCTTGTTCCGCCCCAGCTGCCTCAAGCGGGTATCGATATGGTCTTGGGCTGTTATGGTCTTTAAAAACCTGCTGGAATGCTTAATATTGGCAAGATGAAACGTTCCAAATCAATCAGCATTCCCATGTCTCCGATACCATGCTGACCGATCCAGCGGTCTCTGGCTTCACCGATAGCCGACATGTCGAAAAATCACACAGTGCACAGGGTGAGCACTCCAGAGTGAAAAAGAATGTGTAAAAAAGAACCCGTGCCTCTCGAGAATTGATTCACATTTACGAGTCAATTGACGAATCCATCAAAGCAGTCAGCAGAGCTTAATATACAAAGCCCCTGAAGTGTGGATAACCCTTCCTAACAAAACAGTGTTGAATCACTTCGGCGCAACCGATTTTCCTGATAATTTCATCTACACTTCCCCATACGATGTGAGCCAAGTAGGACGTCCTGTCGAGATGGGAAAGCCCGAATTAGTCAATCTAACCCCACAGTGCGCGATGTGGTCGAGCTTGAAGAAAGCCTCTCCTACTGTGATGAGCACCAGAGGGTAGCCGGCAAGATCTCTAACTCACACATTAGAGGCATGTACTCTATGCTTCGAATCGAGTCCATTTTATCAGTCGGGGGAGAAGGAGAACCAAGGTCTCTTCCAGCAGTCAAGGTGGGTCATTAGCAAATAATCTTTACTTAGCAGGTCTGGTGTACCGGTTGAGGCTCAAGTGGAGACGGTTAAGCGGAGAGAAGCGTGAGCCTTGATCTTGCATCTTCAAGGAGAAAGAGGATCGATTTCTCAAAAAAAAAAACTCTTGTTTCAAGTGGAAGGAGTCTCTGTGGGCCAATGGAGCTTCCTTCAAGGTTGGCAATCTATCACAACAGGTCTTCGTCTTGTCAAAAAAAATTGGAAAAATGTAAATTGAAAGTGCTTTGTTCCAATCCTACCTTCAAGAGTGGTTGAGTATCTATGATGGGCTGGATGGTATTCTTTGACAAGACTCTTGTAGTTATCCTATACAATTATTTTTAAGAGATACATTCGATGACGTTTTTGATCTATGTAAAAGAGAATACTACTATTATTTAGTATTTTACAAGCCCATGTCAGTGGCCAAGATTCACATGCTGACATTGAATTTGAAATTTGAATCAAGCCTGGGTCAACTGTCCTGAAAAATTCCTCAATTGACTCATTGACTTAATGCCTCACCACATGAAAGCCATCATTGAGACCAAAGGAGGGTCAACCCTTAGATGGTTCTTTACTCAAAATGAAAAATAGCATTAAAGAACAAATTAAAAACAAAAACAACATTACATATTTCTAAATGAAGATATTTTTTCAATTTTTTATTTCATAATCCTGCTCTCTTTCCGGTGCACCTTTTCCACCATTTTTTGTTTTTCAAAACACATGTTCAAAATTTCCAAAAACAAAATCTGTCATTTTTACTTTTTTTATTTAGGTCAACATGCAATTAAATGGGAAATATTATCATTATCTCCGGAGGAGGAGCCCATGATTCCCTGAGACTGAGAGAAAAATCCCTGCAGCCCTAGGGTTCCTCAGCCTATATGTATATATAAAATGAAAGAGTGACAGAAATTTCTGTTTAGCCACCATAAATTATCAAAATGAAGGTGTGGGTCCTTTTATTTTGGCACGTATCTGAAAGCTGAAAATTATTTCCTTTAACCTAGCTTGTTTTTGTTGTGTCTTTGGATGTGGGGCAAATGATTTAAAATAGTCAGGTATGCCTTTTGGGAGCTGTACTTGTCAACTTGAGATGACTGCCACAAGCTCATTAATGGATACATAGACAAGATTTTCCTAAATTTAAGAAAGTCTTGAATCTTAACTGTTCTGACAGAGTCACAGTCTTTGATTGAGCCCTGAAATGGGAGTGAGTAGTAGCCCTGGAAAAATCAGCCTGTGTCAGTGTGGAGTGATATGATTCGGCCGGGTCCCCCGCACACTATATATCTAGCATTTGGGGTCTCGCTGTGACCGGCTCCAGTTGGGCTTGGTGGGTGGCCGGCGGTGGCCGGTCTTCTGTAACTTGAGAGTAGGGTTGTTGGCGCCATGTTTGAAAAAGTGCGCGCCCATGGGCACCTACCTAGCCTTCCAAAGGGGCGCGCCTTTGGCTGGCGCAGGGGCGGCGCGCCCAGGCACCATTTTTTTTCTAATTGGTAACATTATAACTGAAAATAGTAAGAAAACAAGCGAAAAAAACATTAATTTACTTGTGCAGGCTAAAAACAAGGAAGAATGATAAAAATCATTAAGAAAATTAAAGCTCAGTGGGGTCCCAGTTGGTACCAGCAACCAGTTTGTTTTGGGTGTCTGCAATTTTGACCATCCAGAATCTAGAATTTGGATTCTACATGTATATTTCGAAATTGGAAATGATGTATCTGACAGCCTGTCAGTCCGCCAGACCAATGCCTGGCTCTCTCAAGGCCCATCATTGTGCAGGGGATACCACCAGACCCTCCAGGCCCTGCCTGCAAAGGTTAGGGGGTTCCCCACCTTTTTGGAAAAAAGTGCGCGCCCCCGGGGCACCCACTTTTGGCGTGCACCAGGGGGTGGCGATGACAACCCTACACACGCAGGGCACTTCACAAAAATTAGCACAGCCCAGGGATGCCATTGTGCCTGAGACGTCCCTGGGCCGGGATGGCGTCCACAGGACATCACTGTTCACACCTGGCATCCCTGTAATGTCCCACTTGAAAATTTAGCGTGGCCCAAGCAATTCAACAGTCATTCAATCTTTATCACTATTTCTTTCAACCGTGGTCATCTTTTCTGCTTCCCCAACTCTATATGCTTGGATAGCCAATAATAGTGCTCCTCACTATTGTAAAGCCACAGCTATCGGACTGGGCCCCATGATATGCTTATTGAAAATCACATCTAAACCACTTCACCCATCTCACTATATTACTTTTTACTTATTCTACCACATGTATGTTTATTGGACAAGTAAGCAGGATCTTCCACATAATTGGGATTTTTAGTTTTGTTTTTTTACACAAGCAATCATAAGTTTCTGTTTTTTATTCACAATAAATACCATTTCAAAATTTGATTCACTGTCTGCACATTGGTGTGTGATTATTGTGCGGTGAATATCATTGAGCTTGCTGGTGGATGTGCATGCGTATGTGCTGCACAATTACCTCAAGAAGGACATTTTTTTGCCAAAAAAAATACTGCAATGCCATCTGGGTGACAGCTCAGAGACAGCACGTTCAATGGTCTTCTGGATGTAATATTTTGGAGGAGACGGCCCTGAAATACCTCCTAGCCATCCGTAGGATGCTGTGGGGGGACGTCACATGGACGCTCCACAAGGACATCCCAGCGCTGGCCTTTTATTTTGGGAGGAGCACACGCCTGGGATGCTCTGATCTGTGGGGGCTGCTGTCCTGGTGCCAGCCCCCTGGACCCTGCCACTTGGACGTCCATCTGCACTGGGGGTGTACAAGTTGAGAGAAGACCAGATGCTGCTCCGGAATATCTTGAAGCCCTGGAACAGATCGCCCTTTCGGCCACCTTCACAGACTCTCTCAGCCGGCTCTAAAATCATCCACTCTAAAATCATCCACGGCTCGATCCGAATGTCTTCAAGTCTAAAATTCTCCAGCTTTGATGTCACGTGGGTGGCCCATTGACTCGTTGTTAAACCTGGATTGACTTCGGTTAAGCAAGAAATACATAACCATATAAACTTATCTGACAAGTTTCTTTGATATATTCGATCAGAAACCAAGTCTTCTTCCAGACTAGTCACTCGTTTGCGATCGTCAACCTCAAACCGATTGCTCCGGGTCGTAAGTCTTGAATTCCAGGTTATGTGGTCCATCAACTCCTTCACGAGTTCGACAACCGTCTGAGTTGACTGTGTTGAGGGCATCCTCAACATCTCAAACGTCCCGCCCGTATATGTAGATGTGCTGGTGATCCCTAAACGAACGGAAGCTAAGCGGCTTGCAGATCTCAGTCGAGATGAGGTGGCCGACCTCTTCACTTCGGTTCAACGAGTGGGCTCGGTGATGGAATCAGTTCACAAAGCCAGCAGTCTGACTGTGGCCATCCAAGTGAGCATGGTACCTGTTCTTCCTCGAGCAGTTGTTGCATGACCCACTCACTCATTCTTTGCATTTTTTTTTTGTTACTACAAAACCGCCGAACCAAACGCTTGCTCCACAGGATGGCCCTTGTGCAGGCCAATCTGTCAGTCAATGAGCAGCTTCATCAAGATGTCTCACGGCGCGGACGCAATATGCTGAACGATTGATCGCATCACAGGTTCCACATCTTCACGTTCATGTGATTCCCAGACGTCCGAACGATTTCGTTCCGAATGATAAAGTGGGCATCTGTCCAAATCGATCACAAACTTCTTCTCCGAACCCTCGCCCTTGTATGATGGTTTGACTGATACCTTCCTTCTGCAGATTTACGATCATCTGAATCGGTTCGACGGATCCTGCGAGAAAGAATCTGACAAACATCAAGTGGGCCAATTGATAATTGATAATGAAGAACGCGCCGCGCGTACACTGGAGGACATGCAAGAGGAGGCCAAGTCCTTGAGTCAACACTTCCAAGATTAGATTTCATTGTACCACACAAAATTCTTCTCAAACATCTTTCGTCAAGTTGTCTGAGTTTTACCGTATATGTATACTGCCTCTAAGTCACCAATCAGACATCGGCCGATGCCCAAATTATCTTCATAAGCCTCACTCTGAATTGAACTGGGCTGCCACTCTAAAAATTAAAAACCTGATGGATCATGGACAGTCACACACACACACACCTGAACTAATGCATGTGCATACACATCCTAGCCTTCACACCTCTACCATCAAATAACTTGTCTAAGTCGCAATCTGTGACTGAGCTTGAAGCATGGCTATAATTGATGCTTATGCCAACTGACAGGCTGAACTGTTTTATAGCCAAAGGGGGGCTTGCAGGGAATCAGAACCCCCCCCCCCCCCAAAAAAAAAAGTCAAATGAGTTTTACAGTCTGTGTTTGTCGCAGAGAACAAGACTACAAATTTTTGGCAGTTGGTTTCAATGATTGTTCAGGGTTTAGAACAAAACAAAAATACAATTCTCCAGGTTACCAAAAAAAAAATGGAAATGGAAATGGGTTTTTGGCAAGTTTGGCAGCTCAGTACCTCCATATGATTCAATTCAATTTCAACCCAACAAAAAAAAACAATCTAGGGAGCAAAAATAATCATAAAATAATGCAGAGAGAAAATTGAGGCAATATGAAAATATGATTTGATTTTAATCTAACAAAAAATAAGTAACAAATACATCATCAACCTCCACCAAAAAAAGAAAGAAAAAAAAGAAGACATCGCAAATCCTCAAAAACAAAAAGAAAAGAGAGAAAGAAAATAAATAAATCAAAAAAGAAAGAAAGAACAAGAACCCAAGGAAAGAGAGAGAAAGAGAAGATAGAAAGAGAAAAAAACGTGAGATTAATCGGTCCAAGAGCTAAAGTCAAGATTTTGAGAAACGAGATCGACATCAAAGAGGAGACTAGAAAGTCTATTGGAAGTCGTGGTAGTAGTAGTAGAATTAGAAATGGAGATAGAATCAGCACTAGTAGTATTGGGAATATGATTATTAATGGAAGAAGGATTAGGATTAGGATGAGAAGAACTAGGATGAGAAAGAACAGGAGTAGATGCGGAAGTATGATTGAGAGTGGATGAAGATGAGGGTGAAGTGGTAGTAGGAGCAGCGGCAGGAGGAGGAGGAGGAGGATGCGTGGCTGGTGGTGGTGGATTTGTAGAAGGAGGAGGGGCAGGATTGGCAGGAGGAAGAGGAAGAAGGCTGGAAGGAAGATGAAGATGAGGGAGCGGAAATGAAGGAATCATTGAAGAAGAAGGGGGAGGAGGAGGTGGGAGCTCGGGAAGTGAAAGCGGAGAGGGATTTGAGGGAAGGGTAGTCAACAAGTCGGAAGCGGAATCATCCGCTTGTTTAGAGCTTTTAAAGCCAGGAAGGAGAAGGTTACTAGAGCTTATGGGGCCCAAGGAAGAAGCTGTGGTAGCCGACGGAGCGATAGAGGTGTTAAGGGATGATCCAGAAGCAGCAGGAGCTGTTGTTCCTCCCCCAGAAGAGTGAATCACGGGAAGTTTGAAGCCCGCCTCATCTGAGGAAGGGGTCGGCCCAGGGGTGGCAGCAGTCAGAGTGGTGGTAGGGTTAGAAGGCGTCGAAGGGCCAAGCTTATGGATCCGTTCTTTCAGTCGCTTGATTTCCCGCAGTCGGGCGCGCCAGTTACTGACGAACTCGAGCTTCCTTCGATTGCGGTGATGGTGTTGATGGTGAGTATTTGGATGATGATCCTGTACTGACGACTGTTGTTGTTGCTGTTGTTGTTGTTGATGATGATGTTCCGTCTTCCGCGTCTCCGTGCCCACACAGGCCAAATAGACTTGTGAAAAGGTGTTGCAATGGAGCGATAACCGGCGGACGAACTCGGAAAGACACGAGCTCGATATCATTTTGAAGTTCTCGGCGATCGGACCGATCTTCGGCAAGCCTGCTTTCCTCTGCAAACTGATCTTAAAGAACTTCAGTTCTTGTTGGACACCGGCGTGCAAGTTGAGGGTTGAATTGATCGGAGTGTTGGGCTCGATGATGATATTGATAAAGTTGAATTCCGATTTCAGACAGTCGAATTTGTACTCTTTGCCAGAATCATTGAAGACAATCACCACAAAGTCATTGCCAATCAACGCTTTCTTGGTCATGATCGGATCTGGGCCCGAGGGTTGTTCGTCCCGACTGGTCGGCATCAAGGTGGCGATATGAAAACAGATCTGCGTGATGTCGTCGCCCCACATGTACGCAAACTTTCCATTAGAATCGGTCTTCGAATCCAGCCCACCGGTATTATAGTGTTCACATCCTTTCAATCTGACCAATTGGCCGAGTGAGCTCAAGAAGTTGATGTAAGCCTTTGAGCCTTCTCGGTTGCCCAAGATCTCCTCCTCCGTTGTCTGCCCTGGGCCGACATAGATCACTCCGATCTTATGAAAATCCACCACCGGCAAGTAATCGATCATCTCAACCGCCCGTTGAAAGATGGGCTGGTCGGGTACCTTGAGTGGTCTAAAATTTGAGGGCGAATCTTCAAGCGTCGGGCTTCCAAGATCTCCGAAGGGAAACAGTTGGAGTGCGAAAAAACTAGGCTCAACCGACAGGTTAGTGTAATTAGGCTCGATACCTGTCGTCCGAGTGATCTCTTCAGACTGTTCGAGAACTGACTCCAAGCTAACTTCTCGGAGCTGTGCGGTAGATGCTGTCGATCCATCGCCGTACGGCTGTTGAGAACCAGGAGTTTCGATATCATCTCCCAACCCACCATCATCCGAAGCAGCGGAATTCAGAGTGTCACGGTGTCGGATGACCATCTCCAAAACATCTTGCTCGGAGGCACCATAATCGCCACTCAGGTTTTCCAATTCCCAAATCATTTTCACCATTCCACTTGGCCGCTTCACACACACCTCCGTCCAACCGGGCCGACTGAGACATTTGATTGTCAGGATGGAGTTGCCGATGATCCAGCTAGTGGTTCGGACCGACTTGCCGAGGGAGGAGTTGATGATCTGATTGAATTTGGATTGCTTCATCCTTGGTTTGGGTTCGGCATTCGAATAGGTGTACCGATTGAGCATATCGAAGCAGACTTCCGTAGGTTCGTCAAGGCCTTGCTTGCCTTCACAGGCCTGGACAAGTTTGCGGGTGATGAAAGTAACATACTTCTTGCGTTCCGGAAGTTTGAGTGAAACGAACCAGAGAGCAATAATGTAGAATGCCATGAGATAAACATATTGCTGGAATGCTAACTCGACCTCCTCCGCCAGCGAGACTTCTGAGGTCGAAATTCCAGCTCTTGGTGGCGTGAGATGGTTGGACGAAGTATGTGCAGATCGAGACTCCTCTAGCTGCTGAAGTTGGTTATGAGTAGTGATATATTGTAATGATATACCAAATATCATCTTGAACTCCTCCTCAGTCAGATTCGCATAGAGCGAAGGCATCTGACCCAAAAAACCCAGTAACTCCAGAATGTGTACCGAGACGAAGGCTGAGGAGACAATCTTCGTCAAACCACGCAGGATCTCGGGCAAGAACTTGGTGATCGAAGGTTGAAGCTCATGACATGCCAAAGAGAGTGCGTGAATACAGGCCTTGGCGGTATCTTTGTACTTACTAAGCCCTTTGACAAAAGCGCCGACCATCTCATCGGCTTGAGATTTGTCGAATAGGGCCTTGTATGCGATTAAGGTCGAAAGAGTTTGGTAGGAGATTGCATGTGCATCGGTCAATTTCACCCTTTGGCGTGGTGGGAAACGAACTTGGTGGAGGAGAGTATCAGTTTTGATCCCACTGCAAAGAAATCGGCGTAACTGGTGGATCTGTTGTGAGGCGCGTGGCTCGCAAGTAAAATGTTTATTACTAAGCTGTCCAGGCAAGTGACACAGTACATATGAGACTAGTTCCCAATCGACTTCATAGCGTAGGATCGCGATCAAGACTGCCAAGTAATCGGGGATAGGCAGGATGGTCATGTGGCGAACGACGTGATGACATGTACTTGGACTATTCTTGAGCGAGAGATGATCCTGGGAAGGATCCCAATCTTTACGAATGATGTGATCGTAGGTGACAAGGCAGTGAGTTGACTGGGTTTCGATCTTTGGCTCCCATCCAAACTCATCCAAATTGTCAGGAACCGTCCAGAGTGGCTTGCCTTCGTCCAGATTATCCGACGCATTGTTGGGTGACGTCGTCATTCCAATGGTAGCCGTTGCATTGGTGGTCATGGAGGTCGACCTTTTCCCCGTATTACTTCCAGGTTCATGGTTTTCACGAAAGGAGGTAGGTGTCATACGGGGCTTTGAGGAGGATGCTGCAGGGCTGAAGCACGACTTTTTATCAGGGGAAGACAGCGCAGGACTACATTTTTGTTTGGAGGTGGTGAAATGAAAAGCGGAAAAGGCTTCAATATCACTTAGTTGTTTGCAAGGAAGACAATGAAAATAGAGAAAGGGACTGACGCATATGATCGGGACGGATCAATGACCCTGCCGACAATTTGAGCTAATCCTTCGATTTCCAAATCTCTGACAAACTGGATTCGATGCTCTTCGTCTGCCCTTAACCTCAGCAAACATTTTAAGATTGCGAGACGGGCCCGATTGTCGATTTGAGATTCATCGGCCTTACGTTGGAGATCGTGATCTAAATCGCTCAAGCTGAATGAATGAGGGAGACCGGAATGTGCGGCATGACTTTGGGAATTTGTCGAATTGACGAGTCCGTTTGCTGGTCGAAGGAGGCCAATCAAATCGACGAAAATGGATACACACTTGGCATTTGAATAGCCCGTAGAGATCTTCATGCTATCGGTCAGTAGCTTGATCAAGGTCACGACAGCCTTGTAACTAAGTTCATGTTGTCGCTTGGCAAAGACCGCATCGGAACGTTCAGAGATTCGAACTTGTTCGTGATGATTGGATGATGTGACACGGTGAGGACTGAAGATCGTGTTGGAGATCGTCGTACTCGTCGTCGTTGAAGCCTTGAGAGGGAGAGAGGATGGGGTGGTGAAAGGAGTGTTGGGAACACTGACGGCAGGTATCACTTCGTTCTGAAGAGGCGGAATTGAATCCTGATCTGCTTGTTGAGTGCTTGGTGAGTTTGTAAATCGTGTGATATCGTCAATATCGATCAGCTGACCCATCTTAGCCGTTGTCATCAGCAATTTGCGAAGCCGGTCATAGGTATCTAAGGACTTGCCGGTCAAATCTTGATGTTTTTCCTGTTCGCCTACTTGGTCTTGATTAGAAAGAAGCTCATTGACGAGTTCGTTGTGAGTAACCTCTCTGATGAGGTCCATAACTAAGTCGATGAGAACCGGATTATCGAACGAGCGAAGATCGGGTAACAAAAGAAACCGGCCGAGAGTAGGGATGACCACTTCTTGCAAAAGCTCTTCTCTCCACTCTTCCAGGTCCCTGATTTCCATAAAGATGTTATGAATCAACCGAAGCAGTCGAACTTGAGAGTCAGCAGGTGAAGGGTTTGATGAACATGAACCGAGACTAGATTTCCCAGCGGATTTATTACTGAGGGCGGTGCGATCTAAGTCAAACTCAAAGAAACCGTCGAGAAGGAGGATGAGATTTGAGAGCCAAGATGGGTACTCGGGCGAACAGACTTGATCGGATTCGATTTGATCGATCAAAGAGAGTTTGAGTGGGTTGGAGAGGTATCTTGAGAGAGTGATACATAAACCGTAGTACTTGTCAATTGTGATTGGATTCCAGCTCATCAATTCCGACATTTTGTCTTGAGGACCGTCAGCAGATCGAATCTCGGCTGCGTGCCGGATGAAGAGTAGTGAGAAAATCTTTCCGAAAGGTACGAGGGGAGACTGTTTGGTTCCTTCGGTGTCTTTGAGCTGATCCTGGGGAGATAGTGGAATGCTGGAATCTATTTTTTTTTCGGAACAATTGTTAGATGGACAAGGAAAGGAGGGAGAGAATGCAGGGGGAAAAACGGCTTTAAACTGACCTATGTCGAAATCCAAAGACCAATCAGAGTCATTAATCCAAGCTTTCAGACGTTCTTGCGAGAAAAGCAATAAGAGATCCAAGCAACAATCGAGATCATCTTCCTTCATCAGGTTACCGATTACGGAAGTCTTGTTGGGTTGAAAGAGACGAAAGCAGAGACGATCATAGAGTAGCATCAAGATCTCGTGATCGATGGCCAGACTAGTTCTGAGTGATGATGATATGATGTCACTGAGTGGTCCTTTGACGAGCAGGAGACCGAGGCCGAGTAGGGTGAGACTGGTAGCGACACCGCTAGCTTCCTCTTCCATAGAGCTCGTCGCCGGTCTGACTTGTTTATAGATCTGGTCGTAATCGTCGAAGGCATACCTGAGGCAGCGAATCGCGCCGATCTTTGAGCATTCATCGATTTTGGGGTCATCACCAGTCAGAGTTGAGAGAAGAGACTTGATGGCTTGATTGGCTGGTGATCGAATCAAGTCCTTCATACACGTCTTGGCTTGTTGAATGATGGTAGGGTCGAGGGGGGCGGTATGTTTGACTTCTAGTTGTAATGGGATGGTAAGGTCTAGATATATATATGAAAATGAACATGTAAATATAAAAGAGGTTTAGCATGCTATGTGAATGGATATAATTCATATATAGAGATGAAAATGATTGACAGACCAGATGATGATAGGTCGATCAGATCAGAGTGTTGTTTAGGTTCGAGAGCCCTGACAACATTTACGGTTCCCTCTTGAGCTTGTAGGCCGACGATTCTAGCAACAAAACGGACGAGATCGATTAGAAGGGCTGCTCCATCGAGGTGTTGGTGGTGGTACTCGTTGGCTGAGGAGTGGGTTGAGTGAGCTGCTTGACGGGTAGGGACGTAACCAAAGGTGACCAGACAGTCGATATAATCTAGGACGATCTTGAGATGAGATTCGAAGCTAGTGACCAGTCCGATTCGGTTGATGAAGAGGTGGATGATCAGTTTGACCTGTTCGGTTGATAGTTGAGGAGAGGAGAACTTGATGATTTGAGTGAGCAGTGAGGTTGAGTAGTGAATGATCTGAGAATGAGGGGCGATGGGTAGTAGCCTGAGGAAGGATGTTGAAGGAGATGCTCGGTGGTTGTTGTTGTTGTTGATGAGGAGTAGTTTAGACTGGATTAGGAGAGGGTAGATCGATTGGAGATGAGCGATCGAACGAGAGCAGAGTTGGACGAGAAGTTGTACTAGGTCCTGGCATCCGATGATCAGTTTACCAGCATTGGTGATCTGGTATAGGTTGTGGATGGAGTTGATGATCGATTGATGTTCTTCTTCTAGTGCATGGTTTTTGTGATTGTGGTGGTGGAAGTAGTAGTGGTAGTGGTCGATTGAGATGATTTTGAGTTCTTGGAAGAAGATGGAATGGTCTAGTTGTTCGTTTAGTTCTTCCTGGATCGATCGGTAGTAGCCAATGGTCTCTAGTGAGTTGTTATTCTGGTGATTGTTGGAGTAGGTAGTTCTGATGCAGAGGTTGAGTAGGTTTCTTCTGAGGTTGATGTTGGGTTGTTGTTGTTGTTTGGTGAGTTGGTTGTAGTGAATCCAAGTTAGGAATGGGTTGTTGTTGTTGTTTGTTTTGTTGATGGTTTGATATATCTTTGGTGTTAGTCGTTGGTTGTTGATGGTGAGTTGTTGTAGTAGTTCTTGTTGGTCTGCTTCTTCCATCTTGCTTTTTTTTTTTTTTTGGTTTTTTGGTTTTTTGGTTTTTGGCGCTTCAAGATCGAAATTCGAAATTTCTTTTTTTCGAGGAGAGACCCCAAATTGGGTGATTAGATAAGCACTATATCTGAAATGACGTCAGTTGACCACTTCAGTCACCCGGGGTTCCGTTCGGGGCATACGGTTCATCCCGAGCCCCAGACCCTGGAAATGCCCTGGCCGAGGCTGGGACACCCGGAAGCCCCGGGTCATGTCTTTATTTCCTGGGTCCTTCTGATCAGCCTTCAGATCCATTTCTCTCATGGTTTGTTCAGTCCAATACCATGTTTTTTCTCTGAAAAGAACTCCCTTTCTTTTTCTTAAAACTATTGTTTTAACTAGTTCACAGCCACTTGAACCAACAAAAAGCATTATACCCCAGGAAAGTCAATGCCCTGGGGTTCACAGTGTCTACAAGATCCATCCCAATGCCCCAAACCTTGGGTTCACACCTCAGGGTGAGACCATGGGGTGTGTTACTTCATTTTCAACATGACAAAACATTATAGCCCTGATAATAAAGTTCACAACCTCAGCTCAATAAAGGGCCCAACCAGCAGCCATCATTGGCTTGCTGGTGGGGGGACCAGCCAGCCTGTTGGCTGAAAGTGAGCTGCCCACACTGTATGACTCAGTGGTCATAACACTGTCAACACCAGGATTGTCAGCAGAGTCAGCTCAACTCCTTGAGTGATACAGGGTATGCTGTGGTCCATTTGACCAGATTTCATTTTCAGTGCAACCTTCTCCGAGTCCTCAGTTCCAGCTCAAGCAGGTCATGCCTCACCTCAGGCAGCTCAATTTTCATCCCGCTTAAAAATGTCAAGCTGTGGTGTACAAGGATTACCTGCATGAAACCCAGGCAGGGGCCTAGCTACAGCATCTTAGCTCAGACGTTTCCCCTCTGAACCCTTTTTTCACTGTTTCATAGTGAACAAATCATAAAAAAATTGGTTTAGAGATCTGGTAAAACCTGGCTAAGTGCCACTAGATTTCCTTGGGGTCAGGGTGCAGGATGGACAGAATCTGGCTCCAAGTCACCAGATCAGAACCCTAGTCAGAGGTAATAAATCAATAAAAGGGGGGTCAAATGCTAAAATATCACCCAATGACTCATGTCAACAAGTACCTAAATCTTTTTCAACAAACCAAATATCAAAACCTACTCCTAACAACCACCAACTGAAGCCCAGATCCTACAATTGACATCTTTGTTGAGCTTTCACTGTTCCTTGTCTACTATTCCCTAAATCCACTCCCTCCTTTCCTTTTCTGCTTCACTATTCTCTTTCTTGAATCATCTTGATCTAGACTGAATTATAGTCTTTCATAGCTAGTTTTTTTGTTGAATCTTATGCACTCCAGTAGTCTAATCAGAAGTCCCAATATCAATTTTAGCAACAACTCTGATCTTTATGATTCATTTCTTTCTTTTTCTATTTCACTATTTGATTCATTAAAAACTGATTATTGAGAATTAACGCCTTTCAATATATCATGTGGTCTAATCAGTGTTTTCTCTTGATTAATTTACTGGCATGACTAAAAGAGATTTAGAAATCTTGTCTTGTTGTTTCTATCTGTGTGATGTACTGGATTTGGTACCCGGGCCGGCTGTCAAGTATACCTGCCGGGAGGGTGCCGGATTTGGTCAAAGTGGCTGGGCCTCTCAGGCTCCAGCGCTTTGGTTATGGCCGATCAACAGCCCGCTCGTCTGGCTGAGACGGTCTGTTTGCTTTTGGCGCATATGGGCATTAGTACTTTCTCTCATTCCTTACTTCAGTTACCACAGCTCAATTTTCAGGTTGTTATCTTATTGCATCAATCATTCATGAACATGTAATCTAATTGACACAACCAAGAGAAAGTTTGAGAGAAATTTGAGCCCAAAGCCTGGATCGTGTCTCTCAAATGCGGACAATTTATCAACTCATCTTGCGAAATGCGAGTGTTTCAATTCATCAGAATTTGCGCAATAATTGGTTATCATTGCCATAGCAGTTGATTAGGGGATGAGGTCGAAACCAACGTGTTAGGGTCCTAATATGAAGATTGTTTCAGCGGTAGACAGATTTGTTGTGCTCATTTGACAAGACAGAATTCCATGAAACCATGGCGACTTACATATTTGAAGATTACTACGTCTCATAAGAAAGAGATCGACAATTTTGATCCAATTACTTAAATAGATTTGGTCGAAGGACGCCTAGGTAACAAAGTACCCAGCGTGGAAGGATGGATCATGAGACCCCGTCAAGAATGACAAGTGATGGGTCAGCAGCAGCCTCCCACACGCAGAAAATCGGTAGTCCTGTTGAAACGTTTTTGGATAAGAAGAGGGCTGTTTGGGTGGGATTTGAAAACTCATCCTCATCACTCAGCCTTCCCAGCTTCATTCCTAGTAACACTTGCATCTCCTTCTGGTAAGGAAAATAAGAACAACTTGACGTTGTGACAATTTCGAGGTGTGTGTACAGAGATCATCAAAACTTTTCCAATGACACCCATTTTCATCGAATTCTTTCTTACCAAAAAGACGTTTTTCTGTTTTGTTATATTTGTCGAAACTGCTTTTCAGGTCCATCCACTGGTTTCCCATTTTCTTGAGATCGGTTCAGCTCTTCCAACAATAACTTATCTGTAGGTTGAATTTATCCGTCCGAATCACAAAAAACATTCCTTTAGTGCAGTGTTACTGAATTTAGCAATCAAAACCCGATCCAGACTTTACAACGATGCAATTACTCCAGCTATCGATTTTTACTCTGGCAGCGGTGCTTATGGCATCACTTAATGCTGAAGGCGTTACATCCGAAATTGGTTCCGCCGAACATAAACTTGTTCAAGCGGAAGAAAGCGTTGGATCAACTGCGCTTTCAACCCATAATTCCCATGAGAAAAGGGGATTGGAGAAGCGTAAGAAGAAAAAGGGTGGTGGCCGTGGTGGAGGAGCCAAGAAAAAAAAGGCTTAATTCTTCTGCAGCCAAACACTTTTTCTTTCCTTCAAACAATATTCAGTACATCACATATGGCCATCATCAGATGATTTTTTTTCCAATCTGCTAGCTCAAAAAACTCAGCTTCTACGTACACCAACATCCTTGGATAGATCATAATATAATGATCAAATATTTCCTGGTCTTTTCCACGCAAAACATGGCTCAATCTGCCTATTACTATTTCTCATCAAAAGTACTCACTACTGCATCCTTTTGCAATTCCATTCATTATATATTGACCAAAATCATGTTGTTTTATGAAATAAACTTATCTAAATAAAACCATCAATATGATTTACATTTGGAGGTTGCAGTGTTGTCAGCGTGTCCCTTGAAAACAAGATAACTGAAAAAGTTGAATTATGGGAAGATCTTGGGCCACTTCTGGATGAATTCCTGTCTACTCTACAGCCCTTGTAGCTGTTGGTTTAAACTTCAAAGTCCTAGATTTCTTAGGTAAAACTATGTTTTGAGGCCTTGAATTACTACCAACGGTGGGCCGCTACACTAACCGTAGCGGTTAGTGTAGCGTAACGTAGCGGAATTCCCGTTAGCGTTAAGCGTAGCGTAGCGGAATTCCGCCACGACACCGCTAACGCTACGCGTGTGGGCCGCAAAAAAGGGCCCACTACGCTGCGCTACAGCGGTTTTTAGCGGTTTTTAGCCGCTTTTTCCGCTAAAAGCGCTGTAGCGCAGCGTAGCGTAGCGAAAATGCGCTACAAAAGCGCTAACACTACGAATTTTTGGCGCAAAAAAAGCGCCGCTACGCTACGCTTTTTGGGCCAAAAGCGTAGCGTAGCGTAGCGGCCCACCGCTGTTACTACTCAGAATTCAGGGTCTGTAGATTTTGACATGATTAGGTCATCCACTAGGAGATTCCAAGTCAACTTGAATGTTTCAAAACTAAAAAAATCTCAAGCATGAAATATCTCACCACAATTCCAAAAAAAAAACGTTTAATTAAGTATCAAGCATATCATTATCAACTATGAATTAGCAGCTGACCAAAATTGTAGGTAGTGTGTGTAGAATAAAATGAATGATATACAAGAAATGACCACAAAACAAGATGTTTAATTGAGAAAAGGCCCCATTCAACACACAATAGTGATGATAAAATTTCTTGCAATTAATTTGCATCCCCAATATGTGTTCTGAAGTTTAAAGGATGCACCTCAAACCCTAAAGATTTCAATGCTGGTGCATAATCAGGGGTCACAGGACTGTTTACCCTGGTCCCTGACCATTTGAATCACTTTTTCTTCTTACTCTGTAGAATGTACCCCCAACTTCACTCCTAAGCAACATTAATTCTTAAAGTTTCATCCTTTTGCATTATTCAAATCAAAATTTACCAAATCTTGTCAGAGAAACTCACCAAGCATGCTAAAACAAATCTTTTGCCTAGGCTTTAAGAATACTTTATTATCAAGAAGATCCAAGAGATTTTTTTTAGATATATCATCCATGTCCCTTGGGGAACTTTTACAAATGCTTCTCAGACATATTTCCTCCTACACAAATTCCTGCTCTGAGCCTAGAGCACTTTCAGACTTTTTTTTATTTGACCTTCTCCCTTTGAAGAGAAGCAAAATTGTTCAATTCCAACAAAGTTCTTCCTACACCCCTTGACATACATTTCCAGGCCAATACCCCCTGCCATTGAGTTGGAGAAGTTGCAAACTTAACACAAGTCCCTCCAAGGAGGTCGCAGTTTGCGCAGCAACCTCCGAAGGAGGGACTTGCAGCTAAGCGGTCATGTCTGGCACGTGAGGAAAGCGGAAAATGTCTTATTTTCACTTTTTTTTATTCAGAGTTACCTAGCTCCTCCCTCCAATGTCCTTGTAACAAGCTGTTTTCAGAATATCAATCTGCTATATCTTGAGCTTCATCTGATAAAATTTCAGAGCTTTTTGCATGCCTGTTCATCCCAATTCTTGGGTACCAAGGTCAAGAAGGACCCATCTTCTGGATAATTCTCAATCTTTCCTGCTTGGAGCCAATTTTCAACAATATTCTTCCTCCCACTACT